CTTGAACTTTGTTCTGATGAAGAGTAAAAAAATATATTAAAAACTCAGTCCAAGAGATCTGTGACACAAAACCAGGAATGAAACACGTGTCAACTAGTATAAGACCGTATTATACAAACTCCTTTCTTATCATCCAGGCAAATTATATAACTCCTACTCCACACTCTGCTGCCTCCTCAAGTACATCTGGCAGTCCACAGGCATTCAGATAGCAGATAGGCAGATCACTGTTTACTGTGGTCACTGTTGACAAGGAAGCAGTTTCCATCTCCTTTTGCATTTGGCCCATTCACACCAGTAAGTGAGCAGATCAGAGGTTGGTAAGCAGATGACAGCAGCAGGTGCTGAGGCCCATGCACAAACACAAGAGTCTAGACTTTGCTTCTCCTATGGCCCTTAATCCACGTGTAGTATAACACCACCTCAAAAACTGTCAATGCTCCAGCCCCATCCCCTCTCTTAGGGCTTGGAACAAGGACAGTAAATACCTAAAACAGAACTTCCTACATAGTTTCATTAAAAAAGGAATTAAGTATGCACAAAACTCCTCCATCAAATGATCAAACATGGGTTTTTCCCACAGGCCACGGTTCTTCATGAATTGGTCAAGAATGGAACCTTTCCATTCAGCAAGTCTTTTAAGAACAGACTGCAACTCCTGCCAGGAGTCTGCCTCCTGCTTATACTTTCCAAAGGCTGCACCTTCCTTCAGAGCAAGTCCACTTGCTCCAGCAAAAGGTCATCCGTGGACTGTACTATGGCTGTTTGCTACACCATGGACTGCCATGAGCTTCAAGGGGACAGTCCGTCTCACCATGGTCTGCACCACGGACTGAGGAGGAATCTCTAATCTGGTGCCCAGAGCACTTCCTCCTCCTTCTCCTTCGCTGACTTCAGTGTCAGCAGGACTGTTTCTCTCACAAAGGCTCAGCTTTGGCCAGTGGTGGGTTCCTTTTGGAACAAGTTGGAGCTAGTTGTGGCTGGCATGGGGCAGCTCCTGAATCTCTTCTCATAGAGGCCACCCCTGCTACCAAAACCTTTCTGTGTAAACCAGACATAGAAAGTTTTTCAAATAATTTACAGAAAAAAATTGAGTGTTTCCTACTTTTGAAAATTTAAATCTAAAATATTGATGATTTAAAAAATATCTTGCTAGCTAATGTTAACATAAATTGGGTTACTCTTAAAAATACATGTTGTTCATCAATCCATTTTAAGATCTATGAGGTCTATAAGATAACCTTATCATAGTAAATTTAGAAATTAAACTTAGAAAAAAAAATTAGTCTATGCATCTACAAGCTCCACAGTTCAGCATTCTGCACAAGTCCACTGCAAAACATATTCAGTTAATCCAGTATTTCATAACTAGCTATTTACCATTAGAGATAATACAAAAAGCTAGTTATTATTCCTGAAAATTAATTTATGGGTTTGTTTAATGGTCATAGTCACAGATGAAATAGAAAGTATTTTTCCATAAACAGCATGTTTTGGGTATTGAATTGTACCACCAACAAGGATCTTTTTTCCTTCGTTTTATCCCTTCCTAGATGAACCAGTTAGATCCATTTAATATTTGTTGCCATGCTATTCGTCAAATAATATAGCTATTAATTCAAACTGTATTTTCCATTCCAAGAAGTACAGTCGATAAAACTGCATAATAACAATGTCTGATCTCAATTGTTTCATCAATTCATCAAGCTCATCTTGTACAACTGAAATCAACCTTCAAAAACTACATTTGGAAATATTTTAAACTAACATACTGCTGGTTCAGAACTTCAGTCTGCATAAATGGCAAGAGATGGCACAAATTCTGTGTTCTGTGGAGACATAGATATTAAAGAACAAGATAACTGTCAACTTGAAATCATTTAGAAAAGGATATAAGGATTTAATTTCTGTATTTTGATTCCATGTTTTGGTCTTATTAAATGTGTTATTAAAAAAAAAATGTTGCCATTGTTTGCTTATACCTTCTACAAGTATGAATCAGCCACTTATAGGTTAATACCACTATTTTGTTCTATACAACTACAATGAATCTCCCAAATAATCTCCCAAATACAGGTTTTGGAAAAGCTAGGACATTAGGTAACTGTGTTTTGCTCTGGAATTCATTCTATAACACCTTATGTATATTTCTTTTGTCTACTTGTTAAATAAAGTGATAATCATAGAGATCAGTATGGACAAAGACCTTTAGGCATCTGTAATTTCAATCTTTGCTAACTTAAACACCTAACCATAACCCATATTACAAGAATCATCCTTTGGTACTCTTCTAACCCTACATATGATGTGATATTTTATTTGGACTCAGGCTACCATCCCAGAAATAAAAGGTTCCTGAATTAGAAGTTAAAGCCATTCTTTTCAGGTTATTTACAGTATTAGGGCAAATTAGAGAGAAACAGTCTCAGAGTTTAGAAAGGTCCAGTGGTGATATCAGGATGTGTTTACATAGGAATAGAGAGGTTCCATCTAAGATATAAATTATGTTGAAATCCTTGAAAAAGAAACTCTGTCCTTCCTTAACTCTCATTTTTCATTTAACAGCAGCAGCAACTTTAAAAAGTATGCTAACTAACTCTACAAATCTCTGCCTTCTCCACATATGACTGGCCAAGCCCCCAGTGCCGTGACTGATTTGGACACAAACTCATTGCTAGAGTAGTTTCCTCATAAGACTGTTTCTACCTTACTTTTTCCAGTTGTGAATAGTTCATTTTGTCATTAAGGGTTCACCACAGTCCTTTCCTCTAACACTCTTGACCTTTGTTTTGCTCATGTTGTCAATGGGTGCTCAGTGTCACAGAAAACTGTTTTATAGTGATACTTTTTGATCTCCCTGCAGCTAGAGGCCAGGAGCCCTGGACACAGTGAGCAAGTATGCTTAGGATACTATGGCAGGCCCTGGCAAGATGTCCTGGCTGGCAGCGCTACTGAAGACCACAAGACCACTCAGCCTTGGTGATGATGCATCCCAGGGCATGCTTCTCAGCCCAAAATGGAGAATTGCAGCAGATGTCCCATAAAGGTCTTGTTATCTCCTTCTGAGGTTGGGCAGGTAGAGGCAATATCCTTGCCTGTAGATGGGATCAAAAAGTTCTGTTGCCAAGCTGAAAGAAGGGGCCAACAGGAACCTTTTGAAATTGAGTAATGACCATGGGTAGAAGAGTCCCTTGCAACAACAGAGGGGTTATAGCTTTTCCAAAGTAACTGTTGCTTAGAGACTGGCTAGGCAGTCAGTCTGCTGGTGGTGTGTGATTACTTTTGCATCCCTTTTCTTTTTTTGCTTTTCCTCACTCCCCTTCACCAACTATTAATCTCTCCTTATCTCAATCCACAAGTTTTTTTCTCAATTTTGCCCTTCCAATTCTGTCCTGCACCTCACTGCTGCAGAGTGAATGAGGGCTGGGTGGATGCTTAACTGCCAGCTGGGGTCAGCCCATCATAAACATGATGCCCAGAGAGGTTGTGCAGTCCTGGAGATTTTTGAGACCTCACTGGACAAAACCATGAGTAACCAATTCTGACTTCAGAGCTGACCATGCTTGGAGCAGGAAGTATCACTGAAGATCTCCTGAGGTCCATTCCAGTCTGGCTTGTTCTGTGATTCCATGTTTTGCATTTCTTGTAAATCAAATATAGAGGTCTGATACTGACAGATAGTGCTGATACTAATAGAGTTGCTCACAGATGTCTAATAGTCTATGCAAGTAACTGTTTTTTAAAAAACCAAACAAATAAATAAACTAGCACAGTCATATAAGATATTATATGTAGCATGCCTTAGCAGTAGCATGCCTTAGCAGGTGAGCATCTTTCCAGCCATATCTCCAACGTCAAATAACTTGCATTACACAGAAATCAAGAAAACGTTGATGTGGTATGTTATGATGTTATCTGATATGTATGATATGTTACGATAAAATAAATACTAGTAAAGAAAAGTCCATACCTGGTGCTATGTGAGATGCTTTAGAAAGGTATGTTATACGCATGAACTTCAATCTGCTGTTCCTTACCCACCACAGAAATATAGAAAAATCATAAAATTACATTTAAAAGCAGACATCAAGTAGAGTTCTCAGTCTTTCCCACGAGGAGTTATCTATTGTAACTAAACCCTAAATCTAGTTACTCAGAATCAATTATTCAACAATAAATGCACAGAAATTAGATTAAATTATTTGTTATTTAGGCAAGTTAAAAAAATGTTACTGTTTCTCACCGCCCAACTCGAACGTACGCACACTTGCTGATTGGTTGGTGGTTTTTGGTTTTTTTTGCTTTCTCTTACACGGCTTTCAGAGTGTTAATGAAAGTAGGAACCTTCTGGATTACTACTTAGCTATTGGCATAGAAAAGCATAAAATAAAGGAAATATGCTCAGCTAAGAGTCTTTAAATAACTTATCACATCATTTTTAGCAGTACAGTAAGGTTTAAAAGTGAACAGATCTTTAGAGGAAGATGGAAAAAAGCAGTAAGACTCTTCCTTCTGTTCCCCCTCCCCTAAGAAGTGTTTCAGTGTTCAACAAGACAGAGAAGTGTTTTGTCTAATAGCTTTTTTTTGCTTTGACCTTTATCAGGACTTTGTAGCTACCAAAGTTTACTTAATCTCTTCTGTTCTTCCTAGTCTTCACTTTTGTTTCCTAGTCTTGTTAGACTTGTCATGTGTCCCTGCTCCTTTTAGAAAAGAAAAGATATTTAATTCTGTTTCTGTACCCTATGGAAATTCCAAGTCACTGAGTTCCAATTTTCCAGGTCTGAGAATGGGCTGTTCTGTCTTGTATAATCCTTGTTTTAGGGACACATTTGAACATTGTGAAACAGTAATTTTGGGAGCGAGTTCTCCCCAAAGATCAAAGTATTAAGCGTACCTTATTTTTAACCAACAGTTTATTTTGTGTGTGTTTATGATCACAACTGAGTTTAGTTTTTGCTGGTTTATTTTTTCATCTCCAGATGTCCCTCTATTTACTTTACCTGTAATTTCAGTTTTCTAGTCTCTTCTTCTAAACTGTGCTTTTCTGCTTCAGGTTGTTCTCTCTTTCCCCATTCAGAGGTATTCTCCCACTGCATTCTTTCCACCTGGGAACGATTGGAATGGGAGGAGGAATAACCAAAAAAGGAAAAAAAAGAAAGAGGAATAACATAATTAAAAATTCCTGTTCTTCACTGAGTGAGGCTAATGGTTTCACCTCAAAGTAAGGTCAGTGTCTTAGAAATCAGTCCAAGCTGTAAGTTTTCTATGTTTCATAAAGTTAAATATCTGAATTTGAAGAGAAAATATTAGTCAGTTTTTCATCAACTGTACCTCTGCAAAAGTAAAGCATAAATATTTTTTTAATATAGCAACTGGTAACAAAATCTTATTCTTTTCCTGCTATTTATGGAATAAACAGTTTAAAGAAAATAATGAAAATTTTTAAATAACATTAAGACTGATTTTGGCTTGACACTGTCAAAGTTCACTTTTTATTCTCCAAAAGATGAAAAATCAGCATGTTTTTACTCTGTTTACACTTTAGAAGGATGATAATGAATATTCATTAAACTGAAGAAGTTCTAAAGTATGTCTTCAGTAGTGCATACTGCTAACTTCATAATTAGAGAAAAGAAGTTTTCTAAATTTTCACACTAATCTGTTTCTTGTGGTTGCAGTTAATAGCTTAAGGGAAATATTATCTTTTATGGCCAATGCTGTGACCTTAATTTAGGATAACTTTATGAATTCATTCATCAGATCCATATATAGGAAGAATTAAATATATCAACAAAAAACCGTGTTCCTAAGTCATATAAAGTAATTATTTAAGAACTGAGTTATACTTCAGAGACAGGTACATAGAGGTTTTGTCAAGACTGCATTAAATGTTCCTCAGATTTCAAAAGAAAAATGGTAAAATGAATTTATTTTTATAGCACAAAACAGGTACTTATCAGGTGCTAATACATATTGAACAGAAGATTGTTATTGCTAAGTATTATTATTAACAAGTCATTATTAACTGGTTCTTAAAATAGATTAAAAGGGATTAAGATAGATTAAAAACTGTGAAAATAAAAGGTTCCAATTCTTTCAACTGAGATGACAAAAAGATCAGAAATGTTAATACATAAACCTCAGAATTTTAAGAACATTTTACAATTTTTCACTTTTGTAAGAACTAAAATCAATTGTTTGATAAAAATAGAGACCGATAACATTGTGAGGCACTTCTTCATTAAAGAAACAGAATATCTGTGCTTTAGAAAGAGCCATAGAGGTGTACTTTTTAAGACATTGGTTACTTTTATTCTAAAATTAATTTCTGGTAAACAATGAAAAGCTACTGAATGTGAGGCAAGGAGAATGAGTTGTTACAGCATCAGAGAAACATAATTTAGACCTTGTGAATAGTAACAGTGATTATCTAGCTGAATCAAATTGCAAACTTGTCTGTTACCACCTTATTTCTGAGTAAATAAAAACAATTAGAAACTCTGTAAAGTTAAAGAGGTTCCTACAGGTTTTTAGAGGACAGTAAAAGAGATTATTCTACCCTACTCTGTGCTGGTGCAGCCTCGCCTCGAGCACTGTGTGCAGTTTTGGCTACTACAATATAAGAAGGTCGTTGGACTATTAGGTTGGGTCCAGAGGAGAATGACCAAATGTTGGAAGGTCATGATGGCAACACTTTTGAGGAGTGACTGAGGATACTTGGTTTGTTCAGCTGGGAGAAAAGAAAGATGAGGGGTGACCTCATCATAACCTACAACATCCTTGAAGGGAGGTGCTGATCTTCTCTCTCTGGTGACCCATGATAAGAACTCAAAATGGCATGAGGTGACATCAGGGAAAGTTCAGGTTGGACATTAGGAAAAGGTTCTTCACTGAGAGGGTGGTTGGTAACTGGAAAAAGTTCCCCAGGAAAGTGGTCACAGCACCAAACCTGCCAGAGTTCAAGGAGTGTCTAGACAATGCTCCTAGTCACATGATTTACTTTAGGTAGTCCTTCAAGTAGCAGGTAGTTGGACTCAATGATTCTTACTGGTCATTTCCAATTGAGAGATTCTATGATTCTAACTACCAGCTACTTCGCTCAGAAAACTACATTTTCAAAGACTTAAAAAGTGAATGGATTATGTTTAAAGGCATTTTATTCTATCAGCAACAGATATTTCATCATGGATTATGTGCTCCCCTTAACAAACAAAACAACAACACGTGTACAACTCTTCCCCCTCACCCCAATAGTATTCCTAAAACCTTGGTGAGTCTTAACATCATGATACTCTGTTGGAGGGTAGTATTTGGAGATAAATCTGAAGCAGTTCTTAAAGCTTTTGATCTAAGTTTAAGGAAAACAACAAGATAGAAAGAAAATAATACATTGCTTTCATATTCTGTATCGTATTGGCCAAATAACTGGGAACTAATTTAACTTTTTAAACAATTACAATATTCAGTAGTTTTCTTTGTATTATGTATTTGTTCTTGTATGAAAAGATCTAATGCAGCTACAAAACTACTAGTTTTGGGGGCTGGTCCACCTGATTAAAATGCAACAGAGTGAGAGGTCTGTGTATTTTA